GTTAGGTATCTAACTCAAAGGGATTTCCATGGATATATTATTGGCCACCCAAATAATTTGTGTGCTAGGAGATATGACCCTCCAAAGTAGACCCTCGAAAAAGGCTTCACTTGGAAATTTCGGATTTTGATACGGTTGCTCTAAAATTTGGGTTAGACCCATTTCCCACTCAATTTGACCCCCTAAACAAGAATATGAAGTCGGATTTTCGAAAAACGAAACGGATCTTTTTATATACAGCTAAACAAGTTTCCGGTAACTTCCGAAGCACATTTTTAAGAACTTTTGGGTCAAATTCAAATATAATCATTTCATTAAGTTCTCGACTCCAAACTCACATGTGAGGCTCTAGTTTCACTCTATCATTTTCCTAGTCGTTACACGACCTAACACACATGACTGACATCTATCTCGACTCTAACTCGAGCCAACCTCACTCTTACTATATCAGTCACTCTCTAAAGCCCTTAATGATGTCTGAACAGGTCGACTGTACTGGCCCTGTTGAAACCGCTTTAACGTCTTATAATAAAGTCTCTAGACATTGAAGGGAACTTCCTGTAATTACCCTTATACCTAATTCTCTTATCGTTGGCCTCCCAAAGAACTTGCTCAATTGTACGGGCATGATCAACTACATCAAGAAAGGAATGGCCAATGGAGATTCTAGACTATGTCTAAATCTGTAGCTACAGTTTCAAACCACGGACATGCACATAACTCTCTCCTCCTTAGTAGGTAGGATCATAGTAGCGTCGTAGGAGAACTCGTGAAACCTCACCTTATACTCTAAAACAATCATAGAGCCTCGTTCTAAGCTACAAAATGAACACCAGATACAATCTCTGACATTGTAGGGGATGAACCTAACCAAGAAGGCCTCAGAAAACTCGTCCCAAGTGACCAGTTGAGACCAAGTTGTCCTGGTCTCTATGAAGGTACACCACTACTGACTGGATGGCCCATCTAGTTAATAAGAAGTGAAGTTGACTCCTCTCGACTCTATTGGGGTCAATGGATAAAGTCGCTTGATGTTTGCATAATCAACTACACGTCTTATAGTTCGGATGTCTATAATCGTGCAATAGTATAGTAACCCAACCAAGGATTGGGATCGTCCCAAAGGAGTAGTTTTGAGAATTTATAGAAAAATAAAATTTTGTTCCAACTAGTTGTAGCTAAAGCATTAACGAGTAAAAACATAGTAAATAAAGGGGGTGACACGAAAGTGTCAAATATCAAAATTGGGGGGTTTTAAACACAAGTAAGCAAAAATTTGCAAGATTAACAAGGAAATCTAAGCAATCAGATGGGGATTCTTGGGATGTGACCGGAATACGGGTTAATCTAAAGTATTGGGTACATGCTTTCGATAGAAAATTTATGGAGTAATAGTGACTAGGCTAAACTTTATGTGGAAATAAGTTCTCTCTCGAGCAACTTACCCCATTTCAAATGGGTTCCTCTCGGACACCCATATGCCGCATGAAGACCAGCCTACGCCTTACGCCACTCACTCTCTCGAGTTGAGTGTTAGGATATGGGATTAGGGCTCACCCTCTCGGGCTGAACCTCATGTCGACCCACTCCTTAGGCCATCAATCTAGTGGTCTTGGTTTCGTGACTTCTCTCTCGAGGAAGCCGAAAACACATGAGTAAACTTGTAATTGCACCTACAAATCAATTAGATTCAACTACAACTACTAGACGAAATCACCATTAAACTATATTTCAACTATCAGCAAGCAAGACCAACTAATTATCTTAACCCATATTCGCTAAATCACACCCCAAGAATTGGGGTTTTTAGTCACACATCAAGATATCAAAATTTATACATAAATGAGCTTGCATTCGAATGGGTAAGAAGATATAAGTCTTGTTACATGCCAAGAGTGAACAATCCAAGAGACCCAAGTCCAAATCCTTGGAGAAGAAACCCTCTTTTTCTTCAAGTCTTCAAAACCCTCTCAAACTTAGAGAAAAAATATGAAAAGTTAATATTCTAGACTGAAAGTTACACTAATTGTTCGACACTTAAAACTACATTCTAACTAGTATTTATAGCTTCTACATATTTGTGTTGCAGCAGATCATTTGGCGCCGTTAGTCGGAATCGCTGATCAACTCGGCAATTTGCCTTTTGGTGTAGTTCATCACCGTCTTGCACCAGCCTTCAGCATCATCGTGCTCTGGGTGATTGGTCGACATGGTACTGCTTCGCGAAACTGTTCGGCAATGTGCCGACTGCTTCCTTTTTCCTCCGACTTGATCCTTTCCTTTAGGGCTCAGCACACTGGAACAAAAGGCGAAGTAGGATCCTTTGGCGACTCGCCAAGTGTACTCGGCGATCCTCAGGCCTTCATTTCTTCGTTTTTTTCAGCCTTCTCGTTCCTTTTTCCGATGTAGTGTCCATGCTTTCCTTTAAACATCAAATACCTGAAACTTAAGGGTTTTCATCAGATATTGAGATAAAATAAGCATTTGAGGACACAATTTCTATTAAAAAATAGCCCTAAATGAGTCTAATTTGTGCCCTCATCAACACCCCCAACTTAAACTTTACTTTGTCCTCAAGCAAACTCAAGTTCAGTCGTTCAAAAAGGGTGTTTCGAGATATTGAGATAAAATAAGCATTTGAGGACACAATTTCTATTAAAAAATAGCCCTAAATGAGTCTAATTTGTGCCCTCATCAACACCCCCAACTTAAACTTTTGCTTGTCCTCAAGCAAACTCAAGTTCAGTCGTTCAAAAAGGGTGTTTCGAACAGTGCTACACAAGACTCACTCATGAATGCACACAACAAGACTCAATTTA